TCACCTCAGCCTCCCAAAGGTGTGGGATTACAGGCTGAGCCACCGAGCCTGGCTTTTTTTTTTTTTCTGAGATGGAGTCTCTGTCACCCAGGCTGGAGTGCAGTGGCATGCTCACCACCACCCCAGTGTCGGCTTGCTGGGCTCTGGTGATCCTTCTGCCTCAGCCTTCCAAGTAGCCAGAGCTGTAGGCGCACGCTACCACGCCCAGCTAATTTTTGCTTTATTGTAGAGATGAGGTCTTGCCAAGTTGCACTGGCTGGTCTTGACCGCATGGTCTCAGCATTCACCTCAGCCTCCCAAAATACTGGGATTACAGACTGAGCCACTGAGCCTGACCGAAATTTGTCTTTCTGTTCAGGAGTAATATGCAGGCCCTGAAGGGGAGAAAGTCTTTGTTAGTGGTTAAGAGTTTGGGCTTAGGCTGAGTGTGGTGGCTCACGCCTATAATCCCAGCACTTTGGGAGGCCCAAGTGAAGGGATTGCCTGAGCCCAGGAGTTTGAGGCCAGCCCGGGCAACTTGGTGAGACATCATCTTTACAATAAATCAAGAAAAATTATCCAGGCATGATGGTGCATGCCTGTAGTTCCTACTACTTGGAAGGCTGAGGCAGACGGATCACCTGAGTCCAGTAGGCTGAGGCTGCGGTGGCAGTGAGTGTGCCACTGCACTCCAGCCTGGGCAACAGAGTGAGATTCTGACTGAAAAAAAAAAATAGAGTTTGGGCTTTAGAATCAGACCTGTGTTGAGTTCTTGGTTGCTCTGTCATTGTAGATAAATTTCCTCAGGCTAGGTACAGTGGCTCCTGCCTGTAATCCCAGCATTTTGGGAGGCCAAGGCGGGTGGATCACTTGAGTCCAGGAGTTTAAAACAAGTCTAGGCAACATAGCAAGACCTCATCTCTCCCAAAAAATTTTAAAAATTAGCTTGACATGGTGGCACATGCCTAGTCCCAGAGGCTGTAGTGGGAGGATGGCCTGAGCCCAGGAGGTAGAGGCTGGGTGAGCAGTGATTGTGCTGCTGCACTCCAGCCTGTGCGACAGTGTGAGACCCCAACTCAAAAAAATTTTTAAAAATAGATAATCTTTCGTATGTGTAAGCTGACTATGATGACATTAATCATCTGTATTTACTAAGGATTAAGCGAAATGATGTTTGTAAAGCACAGAGCACTTTGTATTGCTGGCTTAGTTTATATTCCGCAAGTATTCCAAATGCTTGTGGAATATCTTCTGTGTGCCATACCCTGTGCTAGGCAATGGGAATAACAGACTGATGAGGCTTTTGTCTTTCTGGGTCTTACCCAGAAGTAGGGGTTACAGACGTTAAGTACGTACAGATTGTTACACGGTTCCAGTTGTGGTGGGTGCTGTGGCATCATTCCCGTTTATAGCAGGAGAACCTGGCTTTTACTTGGATGAGGTGGTGGATGGCAAATGTTGCTCTGAGAAGGGAGCATCAAGGTTGTTGTCCTCAAAAGCATGTTCCAAGCAGAGGGCACTCTGGGCTGGGGGCTGGGACCATGGACAGAAATTACATGCAGAATAAGCATCCGGCATAGCCATCTTCCTGGGGGAAAGTGATTCCTGAACACGTACTTATCGCCCACTCTACTCCCTGCCAGCTGGCCAAGGTGAAGGGCTGGGGGGCGCTGGGACTCTGCCTGGGCGTGACCTCTGCCTGCTGTGTCCACAGGCATCCCCTGTGAGGGCGGACTGCGGTGCCTCTGCTGGAAGGTGGGTGTGCCCGGGTGGGGCTTCTGCTCTGCTGAGAGTCCCCGGGTTCCTGCATGGGCTGCCCCCACCCTGGCTTCTTCTGTTCTGCACTGTTCCTTGCTTGTCTGAGGAAGCTTTTCTGGAAAGTTGTGGGTTTTCTGTTCCTCTTGCTGTCCCCTCCAGGGTCCCCTTGGGAGTGGGACGCTTTGTAATGCCAGTGAGGACCTCTGCTTCCTGGTCTGTAAAGTGCAGCAGAAGTGACACTTATTGGGACAAAGCAGAGGCTGTGCTTTGCCCAAAGCTGTTAGCTGAGGTGGCGGCAGAAGCCCAGTGTCTTGGTTTCCAGCTCCCTTGAACATGAGGTTTTATTATCATTAGGAAGAGTCTGTGAGAAAAGCCTGGGTTTAGGAGGAAGGAGGAAGGAAGCAGTGGGGAGGAAAGGGGAGGCCGTCCTGGCTCACACCTTTGTTCCTCGTTTTCAGCCCATTTTGTCTTCTCTAGGCTAATTTTTTTAATTTAATTTATTTTTATTTTTATTTTTAGTAGAGGTGGTGCTATGTTGTAAGAGGTCTTGCTATGTTGCCCAGGCTGGTCTTGAACTCCAGGCCTCAAGCGATCCTCCTGCCTCAGCCTAAAGTGCTGGGATTCCAAGCATGAGCCACCACGCGCAGCCTTCTCTGGGCTTTATGAGATGTTTGTCTTGAGGCCTGTCAGCCTCCACCTACAGTCTGAGGTTGGGCAGGGGAGTCGCCAGAGCGTTGCCCCTTTCCCTCTGTGCAGATTCTCTTGAACTACCTCCCCTTGGAGAGAGCCTCATGGACGTCCATCCTGGCCAAGCAGAGGTGAGACCCTGTGGAAGGGTACTGACTGCTGACGGGAGGGCCTTTGGGTCAGGCAGAGCCAGTGAGCCCGTCCTGCCTGCTGTTGCTGTTTCTCTGGTCTGGGCTCCCTGGGCAAGGCCTTTGGGAATTGTCCCTCTTTCTTCTCCCCTGCAGGGAGCTATATTCTCAGTTCCTGAGGGAAATGATCATCCAGCCTGGCATTGCCAAGGCCAACATGGGTGTGTCCCGGGAGGATGTGACCTTTGAGGACCATGTGAGTAGAGGTGGGCAGCCAGGGCGGAGGACAAGAATGGGGAGGGCCAGGGGCTTTGGAGCAGGCGAGGCCCCACCATGCCAGAGGATGGGTGCAGTCTGGCATCGGTTCCCTCTGGCCTTCTATCCCTCCTTGTTGCGTTTGGTTGCTCGGCCCCTGAAGACAGTTGTCTTTCCCTGCTTCTCCCTGGACCCAGCAGTGACAGAAACGAGAGCCCTGTCCAGAGAGCGCTGCCCCATTCCCATTCCTTGAGTAAGGCTCCGTGATGGCCTAGCTAGAGGAAGGACACACTGCCTTCTGTGGCCTGCAAGAAGCCCATGCTCTCCTGAAATGCTTTCCCTACCCCCAGTGTACTTCACAGTGCAGGAAGTGGAAGTTGACAGGCCCCAGCCCCGGCTCACAGATGGGAATGATGACTCAAAGCATTGATGAGTGAGAGTTGGAGAAACCTAGTGATGCTTGTTCATTTATCCATTTGGGAAGCATGTACCCATTTGACTCAGAGTTCTAGAACTAGGACAGTGGACAGAAAGGACAGAGTTCCTGCCTGGTAGAGTGTCCTCAGCGCAGACCTCCAGGCTGGGCTGCCAGCGTGGTGTTGGGGCGGGATTCAGGAGGCTGTGGGAAGGCCTGTACTGTCTCCTCTGAGGAGCTTGCAGGCTGTGTCAGGGCACAACTGGGTGTGTAGCGAGAGACTGTGGAGAAGCTCCTGCTCAGGCTTCCAAGAGAGAATTGGCCCCAGGGCCTTGCTGGACCTTGGCCAGAGCATCCTCTCTTCTCCCCACAGCCGCTCAACCCCAGCCCCGACAGCCGGTGGAACACGTACTTCAAGGACAATGAGGTGCTGCTGCAGATCGACAAGGATGTCCGGTAGGCTGCGCCCCGGGCTGGGAGCTGGCCACGGGACTTCTGAGAGTCCTCCAGCTCTGTCCTTGCCTTCTGCAGCCCAGTTCCACAGGGTGGTGTTGGAGGGACCGCGGGTGGAGTGGCCCAATAGCTGCGATCAGATCCCATGGAAGATGGGCCTGAGGAGTGAGTGGGGTCTGCCCACATGGCCCCTCTTCCTTATGAGCAGGCCGTAGTTTTTTTGTTTTTGTTTTTGAGTTGGAGTCTCACTCTGTCACCCAGATTGGAGTGCAGTGGCCGCTCCCGGCTACCGCAGCCTCGACCTGCTGGGCTCCGGTGATCCTTCTGCCTCAGCCTTCCGAGTAGCTGGAATTACAGGCATGTGCTACCATGCCTGGCTGATTTTTTGATTTAT